TCATCTTCAGTGTACTAATGTAATGTTTTTATTATGTACCACGAAAAAATTAAATTTAAAAAAAATTAACATTAAAAAAATATAGGTCTTTTTGACGACGCTCACCTTTACCGCCTATATAAGTTTAAATTTTAGCTAATTAAATTTATAAGAAATTCATGAAAGGATAAATGATGCTGTCAAGAAATTAATTTTTCTAGTTTACTTATTATTTATGTATTTATACTAAACTTTCCAATTGATTTCATTGATTTCAAAATTTTCATGTTGATTTCAAAATTTATTGTCATTAGGAATTAAATATTATTTATTTAATTAATACGTGGATTATGTGTGCCAACTTGGTGAGAACAGTGACAAGGATCGAGCTAGTGTTTACCAAATAAAATGAAATCAGACGTTTTACCTTTTATGTTAACTTCCGCTCCTCCATTTAATTAAAGAAATAGTATTTAAAAATAATTGTTAAAGTGCACTCATTCTGAGCTTCACATTTGGCAGTTCCCGAGTTCGATTCCTGGTACTTGCAGTCTCAAAAATAATTATTTACAAATAATTAAATACAAGAATTATTTCCACGACCACTGATGATGAGTATTTGGCAATTCAATTAATTAAAATAATATAAAAAATAAATTTTTGTTGTTCTAGTTCACTACTCTTCGAAAAAACCTTTTTATAAAAATAATTATTTAACCTTTTTTTATATATATACAATAATAGCATTATATATTATTACTATTAGTCTATTATGAATAATTTCACAACATTCTGCAACTTGTCGGCATGGGATACTTATTTTCAATTCTGCGTCAAGGGTTGAAGCATCTGTCTGTCTAATGAACCCTTAGCAAAGTTACTAAATAGGCTGGAATAATGATTTGAGGCAGAGGAAAACATATTATTTCAATGCGCGTATGGCAAATTATTAATACACATATATTGCACATACCTACCGATAAATAATAATATACATATATTAACAAAATGAATCCTATTATTGCTTCTATTGAAAACAGAGATACAAGTACATCATTATATTTTTAAACAAAAAAAAAAATTTGAATATCAAGTTCCATAAGTGCAAGCAACAATTACAGTGGCGGTTGCCATATTGACTCATGGACTTATCGACATTTACAGGTGTGAATACATGCTTTGAGTGATAACAATAAAAAATTCTATTGAATTGACCTTAGGCGCGACCAAATAATATACAAAAAAAAACCTTGAGTTCAAGAGTTCTTTGAATTAAAGTACAATTTTATAGGTTATTTACTTTATATTTGACTGGTAATAAACTTTCTAAGCTTTGGAGAAGCACCACAAATAACTGAAATTTGTAAGAAAATACTTTTTCCATTTAAAATAAATTTCAATTCATTGAAATTGAAATATATTGGTACACATATCCATACCTCTTCATTCCTCCACACGATATGTGCCATAAAATTCCTAACGTTAACGATGGTGTCACGGCAACGTGCCCAATGCCAACTAATTTTGGCACAATAACTTAATTCAACCGCAAGCGTCACAAATTTAACACCTTTTTACTTTTCTTATCCTTTGCTCCGTGTTATTCCTTTTCCATTTCCGTTATAGAATCCTTTGTAACGTCACAAAAAGTCACTGTATCCACTTTCTCGCAATAAAGTTTGTAGGTGTAAGGCATTGCAATGTGACTGCATTGTGGTTGCACTGAAAAGCAATGGGGTTCTTTCCTTGCTATTCAAAATAAACTAGAAAGCATCATCAATCGACGTCTTTTGGCATCGTTTCCGCTTTGATTTGTGATGTTGTTTTGTTCCAAAAACGTGACTACACTTTTAGTCACAGGTATAATTTGCTTTTTAACGTTTTATAAAAGTAATTAATGTTGCAGTGTGATTGCATTTTAATTGCTTCCAGTTAACTGATGTAGTAGGACTCACTGACACATGTTTAATTAACTAATTATAATATTTAATGGTAAATGTTGCATTTAATTAACATATTTGGATACATTGAAGAATAGTACATTAATTCCAATAGGAAATGTATTTTTAATGAAAAAACTTTATATTGACGTCATTATCTATTAATTGTATGAGAATAGGTCATGTAGATAGTTACAACAATATGTTTTTACAGTTGTAAATACAAAAATGTGTAATAGTTTCGTGGTTGAATAAATATTGGAATATATAATACAATATTATAAACTAATTTGACGGGTTATCTATAGTCTTAAATGAGTGTTTGCACAAGATAATTTAGAGTTGATCGAACAAATCGAGTAATTTTTCATCTAATGATGAATGCTGAAACCTTGATATAATGGATGAAGAAATACGCGAGTGACTGTTTAAGATGATAAATACACAAACTGTTAGGAAACTCTCCTAATAAATGCAGCAAAGCAGAGTCCGAAGGGCGACGGTGTAGATTGTGAAAAGAAGCCTTTGGACAGATAGAAAAATCTTTTGGACATGGGCAGAGAATGCCTTCGCGGGAATTATAATATAGAAAAGCACGCCGGCAGCCTAGAGGCGTCTAACTGAATGACATCTGCTTGCAATTGAGATAGGTGAAAGTAGAAAGGCGTTCCAATGATAACGATGTCAGTGAGAAATACATAACTATGAACAATATTACTACTACTACCTGAAAAAGTATAGATCATCTAAAAAAGCATTAATAAAAATAAAAAAACTGTTATATGAAACAATAATAAGACGAGTAATAACTTACGGGTATAAAGCCTGGAGATTATTATGTATAGAAGTGACCGAGCTATAAATATTTCAGAAAAAAAAAAGTTGGTGAATAATATTTGAGTTGGTTCAACTAAATGGAATATATGCTATCACTTATAACCACGAAATTTATTAACTAATAGGAAATGATATAAGTTAATGGCATATACAAAACATTATTTTAATGATGTTTTTAATTGAAAGTAGAATATAATGAAA